ATGGTGAATTCTCTGACCAAGAGGTCTGCAAATATCTCAAAGTTTAGGGAGAAAGGGATTTCCTTTTACAGGGAGGAGTAAATGAGGTTAGAAAGGATTGGGTGTGGGGAAAGTAAGATGACCATCCAATAAAGTATATATTAGAGAATGTTTTACCCAGACATCAGTCTATTTTATCAGGGAACTAAAGAAGAGGGTGTATGAGGTGTTGGTGTAATGGGGGGATTGGGGTAAGTGGGGGTTGGGGGTCAGCCTAAGGGGATCAAGGAAAGAGAAAATGTAACCCATTAAGTCTACTGAGTCACCAAGTTTTTAAAAAGTATGGCTAACAAAAAATTGATTTGATTTTATCAATCATTAGTGATAAAACAATTCACCTAATCATTCATAAAATACAGAATTGAAATGTGTTTGGCTTCCTTATAAATAAACCAGGGACCACCCTGAGTCTTATATAAGTCATGGTAGGAAGGCTGAATTCTTTGCAGTCAGTGGTTTCTCTGAACAAAGAAGGGTAGGAGGACTCCTAATTATCACTGTTTTCAAGGAACACAAGGCACAGGTAAAATTCACTAGTTAGCTCTAAGAGGAAATTTTGCCTGAATCCAAGTTTGGTATTTTACAGGAAATGTAATTAATAAGCATGCTATTTTTTAAATTAATTTTTAAATTTTATATATGACAACAGAATGGATTACAATTCTTATTACATCCATAGAGCACAAGAGATTTTTCATATCTCTGGTTGTATACAAAGTATATTCACACTAATTCATGTCTTCATATACGTATTGTGGATAATAAGGTCCATCACATTCCACCATCATTTCTAACCCCATGACCCCTCCCTTCCCCTCCCACCCCTCTGCCCTATCTAGAGTTCATCTATTTGTCCCATGCTCCCTCTCCCTACCCCACTATGAATCAGCCTCCTTATATTAGAGAAAACATTTGGCATTTGTTTTTTTGGGACTGGCTAACTTCATTTAACATTATCTTTTCTAACTCCATCCATTTACCTGAAAATGCCATGAGTAATTTATATTCCTTGCTTTGTGTCCAGGAAACACTATTCTTTTATAGATACCAAAATTATGTGTGTTTTTGAGTCAGATAATAAATTACTCAGTAATTATAAAATTATAAAATATAGGCCCTATCCCCAGTCCCAACCCCCCAAAATAGTCTAGGTTCCTTTGAATTAAGCTTTATAAAACTAAGGGATATTTCCAAAAATAATTATCATGCAAAATCAATGATAAGGGAGAGAAAAGATATAGAAGAACTTTCTATGTATTTTGGAAATTGTCCCTTTTCAGATATTTGGATTGCAAATATTTTCTCTCACTGTGGTAGTGACCTTCTTGTTTTGCTGAGTTTTCTTTTGTGCTACATAAGTTTTATAGCTAGTAGTATTCCCATTTAGATATTTGTGTTTCTGTTGCCTGTGACTTTGTTATCATACTAAAGAAAGCATCCCCAAAACCAAGGTCAAGACATTTACTTCTATGTGTTTTTCTAGATTTTGTGGTTTCAGACCTTATATTCAATTATTTAAATTCATATTTAGTTACTTTTTGTATAGGGCAACATCCCCTGTCCCCTGCCAAAAATGGCGATAGGACTTGACTAGACATTTCTCAAAAGAATACATGCAAATGGACAACAGGTATGTGAAAAGTGCTCAACATGTCTAATTATCATTAGAATACAAACCAAAGCCACAATAAGATATCACCTTACAACTATTAGGATGGATGTTACCAAAAGAGAAAAAAGAAACGTTTTGGTAAGGTTGTGGAGAAAATGGACCAATTACACACTGAAATATCAGGCCATTTAAGCACAGTGGAAAACAGAATGGAGGTTCCTCCAAATTAGAAAATATAATTACCATATGATCCAGCACCTCACTTCTAGGTATATATCTAAAAGAGTTGAAATCAGGATGCTGAAAAAATATCTACATGTCCACGTTCACTGCAGTGTTATTCACAATAACCTCATTATAGGATCAACAAATGCATCCACAGAAAGATGAGTGGGTAAAATAATGTGATATATACATACAATATATTGAATGAATGTATAAATGAATAAATAAAATCTTCCCACTTAACTCTTACCTGAGTTTTCCTGTAATTTTGTTATATAACTGTATACCCAGCTTAATTGTTTTACTTTTTTTTTTAAATTTCTGAATATATAGACTTACATGTGTATATTTTTTCCTAAAAAAATTGAAGGAGAAGAGATGGATAATTAAAAGATTTTTTTAAAAATTATGACTATATTGTTTTTATTATGTGTACTCTAAGTAATTCAAACTAAATAATAAGAAAAATCACAAAAATGTTTAAGTTATACCACCTGAACCTAAGCATTATTAACATTGTTTAAACATCTTCATAGACATCTCTTTTGTTTCTGAAGATATAAATATTATAGATTAGATAGAGACCATTTCACATTATCTCTCTTTAAATATGTTTACATATATTTATATATACATATCCACATAGATTTGTGTGTATATGTGAAATAAACACATGCATACATAATGAAATTATATATATGCAATATATGTAATAAAGATAGATGTAGAAAATGCTTAATAAATAAATATCAATAATAGGTTGAAGATAGGATTTTACAAAATGTGCTTTTATAAAAAAGTATTAAGTTGGACCTATGGCACACACATGTAATCCCAGCAGCTGGGAGGCTGAGTCAGGAGGATCACAAATTCAAGGCCAGCCTCAACAATAGCAAGGCACTTAGCAACTCAGTGAGACGCTACAAAATAGGGCTGGGGATGTGGCTCTTTGGTTGAGTGCCTCAGAGTTCAATCCCTGGTACAAAAAAACGTATTAAATTCAGGTTTCCATAAGAAAAAACTTTAGGAAGAATTTGAATTAGGATACATTCTTTTTATCATAGACATATTTCATCCCAAAAGTTCCAAGAAAATAATGTTCAGGAAGAAGGCATTATTGCATGTTTTAAATGTTATCATTTATTTTAGACTTCATTGATTTATAACTCTCTGAAATCTTAAAGGAATTAGTACAGCAATTTTTCATTCTACATCTAATTTTTTCTTAATGTGATTCTGCAGTATTGCACTGAAACACAGTTGAAAATACAGACTTAACAGAAATGTTTCTTCATTGTAGCACAGCATACAGTTAATCCATACATACATGAGGAATTTCCTCCAACGATATCAAATAATGCCAAAAGGATCTGCAGAAGATATAAATTGTTAAACTAAAGGAATGGGACAGCTAGCCCACATTTTACAATTTTTTTTTAAATCATGTACTCAAATTTGTTTGATTTTGATTTGTGATTCAGTTGTACCAGTAATATGCTTTACTAATAGTTTTACAAATTAATTAAATATTTTTAATTAGATTCAAGGAAGAAACCTGTTAATGCAAATACTAGAACCAAATTTCTAGCTACAATCATAATATCAATAATTATAATTTGTGAACTCCTTTCTATCTGGAAAAAATGTGTAAAGATTTTTGTAAAATCTTTAGTTCACTGAATGCACACAAAACTTCATATAAGGAATGATGTTTTCATTTTGTATTTAAGGAAACTGAGATTTTAAGAGCTTACAATTATTTGTCTAAGATGATGTCATTGATGTGTAAAAGGTGAAAACTGAATCCAAACTTTGTGCTCTTCAATGCTATGTTACTACTGTTTGCATCTTGATTCTTCTCAAGAATCTCATCAGAAACAATTCTGTAAGATGAAGAAGCCATGAGTGTGGGATGATGAGAAAAAAGGAGAATGAACAACCTTCAACTGAACTCATCTATAAAATGTGAAAACAAATGGACAGTGCATTTCACTACCATTGGCAGTGTCCCCTGGCATACAATCGCATAGCCATTTCCTCCAAAGTTTAATATCCTGATTGTTCTTGTAATAAGGGCAAGGCAAGCACATGCCAAACTCTTAAGGCAATTTATTTTTAACAGAGCAGAAAGTAGGTCAATTTGATATCTTAAGCAAAAGTTATTTCCAGATGTGTTAGAGGATTTTAGAATATGTTATCTACCCAAGAAAATATTTCACAGTTGGACTCCACAAGGAGAATTGAATGTATAGGCAATGTAAACATATTTGTCACATATAGTTAAACACTAAACATTGAAATGTTCATAAATAATTTATGTGCATTCCAGTATTAATCTACAAGAAATTGCCATATGTAGAAAAATAGAAAACAAATATTTATATAGTAGTAAATTGTATTTTCAATTAAAATCAAGTTATACAATTGGAAGAATTGCAATTTTCAGAAAATTACCCATTAGTTAATATTATATCTGTTTTTTCTATGATTTTTCTGATATGACATGGTATATTTCTTAGCTGATTGTGTTCACCTAAATAGCTTCTGATATTTGCATGAAATATTTTTATCTTAACCTTGTAAACTTATCACGCAAAATATGTCAACATTTTCTCATTGCTATAATGCCCTCAGGATCTTTGTACCCTTAAAAAAAATCAGGTATTCTAATCCTATACCTTAGCAGGTAGTTCTTCCAGGTATTTCAGACATAGGTGGGAGGTGTAATTTATGACATTGACTATGTGAGGTCAAGAGTCCAAAGACCCCCTTGGCTCCTTTAACGCATAGACAGCTTTATTTGTACAACATATCGGCCTTTCCCATGAGCCACATAAAAGCTTAAATGGTATCATAAATTCAAAAATCTAGACTTAAATAGGACATGGTTGATGACCTTTTTCTACCTTATTTGACTTCCAGCATCACTGGGAGTTAAATGCTGAAAAAAAACTCTTTTATTTTGTTGTTGTTCTTTCCTTCAAGGGTTCATGTTCAGTAAACATTAGCAAAAACCAGGCTGCCATCATTTTTTATTTCCTAAACGTCATTTCAAGTTGAGGGTGATTTTTTCCCCCTAGTAAACCCATTGTAATGTCATGTTTTTACTTTGTTTGATTTATAGGATTTTGGATCGCTATGTTCAGGATCAAATTCCTGGTGCCAAGGTGGTGGTAGAATCCATTGGTGCTTGCCGGCACGGGGATGCCTTTTCTTTAGAAGATTACAGCAAATGTGACCTGACTATGCAATTGATCCCCAAACCAACAGAGCCATTGACAGAAATGAACTTTTTAAGTAAGTATATTTTATTATCATTTTTCATCATTCTGGTTATGATAGCACCCTGGGTAATTGTAATTTAATTATAAGTACTTAAAGTTTAGAACACACCAAAATGTTGTTGCAAGTGAAGTGCAAGTAATAAATCACAGAGAAAATCTAGGTTCCTCACCACTAAGTTTTCAAGTCCAAGTATGAACTACAGTGACTTCAGAATATATGGGTAACAAAGGATCTATTATATGCAAGAAATAACTCTTTGAGGTCACTTTAGGACTGGGTACATAAACTCAATGGTAGAGTGCTTGCCTAGAGTGTTAGGTAATGGGGTTGATCCTCAGAATACAGAAAAGAAGAAGAAAAAAAAGAAGAAGAAAGAAAAAGAAAAGAGAGACAGACAGCGCACATTCCCTTTATGTTAGGGCCTCACTCTTACTCTAAGACTGTGCCTGTTTGAGAGGAAAATACAGATTCCTAAAGCAGCAATTTCTCTGCAACAATTCAGTAGATTTGACTGTTAAGATGAAATCTAGCTTTCTAAGAAGTCTGTTGAGTCAACAACTCAAAAATCATGTTTATAGTACATATTTTTCCCCCCTTGATTTGGGGGTAGAGAACAGAGGTAAAAATCACACCCATTTAAGACTATACCTATGTGTATTTCATCCCAGTGTAACCTTAGAGTGAACTTGAATATTTGAGTTAAATATCCTTAAAAAATGGAGGTCAGAATCTAATAAAATGCTGCTGCATATTTTCCATTGGATGTTATTCTAGCAGTTGAATCTTAAAAAAAAAAAAAAACTATCTTTTTCTGCTTTACTCTAGTGACATCTAGTGTCTAACAGATTCTTGGACTATAATTCAATGTTCAATGTAAACATTTTTAATTTAAAATATATGTTGAATATGAGATCATATACATATATTCAAAATATTTATTTCTGTATTTACACATACTTACACAAAATTTATTCCCAAAGTCATGGTTTCAGAATTTAAATTTGTCTATACATACCAACCAGCTTAGAAACATGTTCATGTTCAAATTTACACGTATCATATATGTCTACATACGTTTGTTTATTTAGAAAGTACCTACTTATTCATTTTTACTAAAATTCATAAACTCTCAGTTTAGTTTTAAGTCTGTTCATCAACAACAATTCTTTGCTTCTATTTTAGCAAGAACATAATGATTTGATATCAATGTAATTTTAAAAAGCCATTGTTATTAAGTTTGTTATTTAACAATTTATTTTAAGAGATTTTAATGCAACTCAGTACACTTATCACTGTGTGGAAATAGAGATGACTGAAGCGGTAACTCCCTCAGGCTATATAATCACTCTCCAAATGAAATAACATTTAGACCTACAAAGCCAATTGTTTGCATTTTATTATTTTAAAAATTTATGTGGGGCTAAATTACAGAAAGTCTTTCTGTTGTAAATATTAGAATTTTTTTTCTTTTAAAAATGTTCATCCTTTTTCTCTGTTTTCTATGTAAACTTGTTTTATCTTAAAATTTGATAATAGATTGAGTTTAGAATGATTTTCCTAAGTGTAAAAAGTCTATTTTTGGGGGACATATGCCTGGTTTTAAAAAGAAAAATAATAGGAATTATAATTTGAATTATACCGTCAAACACGTTAGGGATACAATATTTGGAAAAAAAACAGTAGAGAATACTGATGAATTTTAAAAACATAGTTTATGCTGAGAAGAGAGTAGAGTTGCCATGAATTATTAAAATTTAGCCTTACCAGTATTTATCTTGAACCCCAGTGTCTGAGAAATACTGGTCTCATTTAACATTTTAATTGTTCCTTGAAATACTTTACAATAAAATTTTATACACACAGGATTTCCAAGGCTGCTAATGTACACGTATAATCATTAATAATGATTAATAATAAAAGTTACTGAAAATTTAGTTTTTAACACTGGACAAGTATTCCAGAATATTAAATTGTTATCTAATCTCCAGGGCAGAGGATATAGGGTTATTCTTTCAATTTTTCTTTCTCCTTAAATCTAAGTAACTGAAGATGTTGGAATTCTCAGGTCATATGATTAGAAACAAATAATAATAAAATCAACAATAATAATTACTTTAGTAAGTTAACCTTAATATTATAAAATGGATTTAAGTTAATCAAACACAAAAAATAAAACACTTTACAGACATGGAGATGACTGAAATGATTCTTAATGACATGTAAATGATTTGTATTGCTTGGCAAGTCTATTGATATTTTGATTTTTTTTGTATTTGTGGATATGTGAGTTGATTAATTCTCTGTAATAAATATATATCATTTTTATCTTGTTTTGAACTTATTGTACCCACATTTTTGTTTGTTTCTTTATTTTGGGTATTTTATTGTTTTTATTTCTAGAATATTCCTCAGAATTTTCTCTTCAAATACTTACCTTTTAAACCATTTTTGAGATGCAATTCCATGTAATTACCCACTTACCGTGGATTAATCCAGTAGTTCTTAGTGTTCAGAGTTGTGCAACCATTACCATAATCAATTTGAGAACTTTTTATCACATAAAAGGGAAATTTATTAAAATTATTTGTTATTTTTGATTTCTCCAAACTGGACTCAAATAACCATCATCTACTTTTTGTGTATTATATTTGCCCAGTCTAGAACCATTTTTGAAATACTCCTCTTAGATAAGAATGAGTATTGTGGAAATGGTTATAATACCCCAATCTGCGGATTGAGTATAATCCCTTTCAAAATAGTGATAGCCTTCTTCACAGAGATATGGGGAAAAAAAAAGTCCAATTTCATGTGGAAATAGAAAACATCTGAATAGCCAAATTAATGTTAAGCAAAATGAACAAACTCAGTACACTACCTGGCTTCAAAATATACTGTAAAACATGCTACTGCCATCAAAACACACATAGACCAATGAACAGAACACAGAGTCAGAAATAGGTCTACACCTTTATACCCACCTGCTTCTTGACAAAGACAACAATAATTTAGATTTGGGGAAAGAACAGTTTTCAATAAATGTTGCTAGTAATACTGAGGATCTTCACATAGTTGTTAAGCCCATTTCCTCTTTATTCCCTTTCTGGGACTGCAATCAGAATCCAGTTTTCCTTATGGTGTTTGGGTCTCTATTCTGGTGCTCCACCCCTCCCACTGTTATCTTTGTGTTTTAGTTAGTTTGGATACTTTTTCTTGCCCTATTTTTAAGTTATGGATTCATCTATGTAAGCCTATTGATGAGTTCATTAAAGAAATTCTTCATCTTAATGTTGTTTTAAATAGAAATCTTTAGCATTCCCATTAGATTATTTTTTAGAGTTTCCAACATTGTACAGAATCTCTCCATGTTCATGTATGCTTTCCACTTTCTCCTGAATTCTATTGTGTATTCTTCAGAAGTAGTATCCAAGTTCCTTTCTGGTATTTCCAATATCTAGGTTATCTGTGTCTGGTTCTCTTATTTTATTTCTTACTTGACTAGTGTGCTTCTTTTCTTTTATAGTCTAATTGTGTTTTATTTGGTTGACTACCAGATATGTAAAACAGTAAGAACTAATGGGGAGTTTACATCAGTACATGCACACATCCCCTTTTCTGTTGAGTAAATCTATTCAGGAGTTATATTTTGGAACAGTCATTAATTTCAGTGTGTTACAAAGTTCACATTTTCTCCTGGTGGAATGTGGTTGACACATTCTTAGAATAGAGACTAAAGTGCTGGGGTGTTCTCATACTCGTTCCTCGACCCTTCCCTGCTAATGGTCCCTGCAGTCCTCTGCTATGGAGAGAGTCCTCCCTTTCCTCTTTTCTCTCTAGCAGTATTATGCTTCTCTTCCATGTGGCTTGGTTCCAATCTTAATCCAAGGATGGGTGTGGGATGGGGGTTCCTTTGATTATCATCTATGAAAACCAGATAGGTTTCAGAAAAGACATCCCCATTGCCTTATGTTGCAGTATGAAAATTTAAGTTAAGAATATATGTACTTTCAAAACCAAAATTGAATTATCTGGGTCATTATTTCTTATATTGGAAGACTAATCTAGCTAATCCTTATGTAGCTGTGTTCAGACATTGGGCTGGTGTTTTTCAGATTTTGCCCTCTCCATCTTATGACAGCCACACATTGCATTGGATAAGGTTTTTTGTTTTGTTTTGTTTTGTTTTGTTTTGCCAAATGTGAGTCCTTTGTGTTTCCCCAACCAGCATGAAACCTCTATTTTGTACTGTTTCAAAGGATACTAGGCCCAGGGGACCTACTGTTCCTCTTTTAGGTATAGTCAATTTTGGTTTACGCAAAAGTAAAACGTACACCTTCACCTGAACTCTAGGGAAGGGGATAGTTTACGCGTGTGAGATCATTTCTGGGAAATGGCCTCGGTGTTTCTGCCCATGCCACAGCTGTAACGGATTCTTTCTTTCCTGTTCTTGCACCATGAATAAAATTTTTCTCTTGTCTCTTATCTCGTTCCTAATCTCTCTTGTATACATCCATGGAAAAGAGTTTCAGAGGGAGTAAAAATGCCTCTTTATTTCTGGGTTTCTGTTGCTTTAATCTTACAACGAATATACACATACGAGTTTATCAAAATATTAGCTTATTTTTTCTCATTTTCTTTTATGGCTTTATAAAATACATCTCATTTGCCTGATAAAATTCCAAAGAGCAATAAAACAAAATTCACCATGTTGTAAGAAAAAAAATGTTTTGACTCAAAAATATTTAACTAGTCAAGCTGCTCTAAATGTACAAAAAGTAGATCAGTAGTCTAGATAACAGTTCAAAGGGGAACACCTGTATGAATAAGAATTCTTCTTACATGGTTTGAACAAGAGTCCAATAAATTGAGATCTGTCAAATCAATTCCATTAGAAAGGGGCAGATTATCCCTGCAAGTAATGATCATCTTCTGGTTCTGATCTTTCCCAGTTTAAAAAAATATATACTTCTTGTGATTCAATTCTTAATCTATACTTCATTGAGAATATATTTCTTTATCTGATAAAAATATCAAACAAAATGATTAAAACTTTATTATATTGTTCTACATGTAAAAATCATCTAGGAAAATTGTTATACAAGGTTTATTTTTCATCTATAAATACCATATATGTTTTTAAAAGGCATCCTAATTGTATTATATTTCAGTATGAAAATTTAAGTTAAGAAAGTATGTAGCTTTAAAACCAAAATTGAATTATCTGGGCCATTAGGTTTCTTAAATTGGAAGACTAATAAACTAGCTATCGGAATTCATCTGATACCAAGCATCTT